ACCTACCTTCTCCCTACCACCAGAATTACTGGCATGAACATCACCAACTAATTTCAGCGCCTTTGCAGACTGAGGCATGGCCTTCATTGCCTCTCTAGCAGCATAGAGGGCCTCCTTGACTTTAGAAAATGCCATATAGGATTGAACTAAACCTGAAATTGTAAAAGTCAAAGGTTTTGCAATGCCCCATAATCTCGTGATTCATTCTTTCTAACTATATAACTACATAAAAAATTAGAACAGTGAAAGATGAAGCTTATGCAGCTGAACAGTGAATTTGCACATTCTTTTTTCTCCATAAAACTCAAACCTTGATAAGAACGGAGATCAGCTCTCAATTCTTGAGCTCCCCTGAAGGCCATTACAGCAGCTTCAGGCCTCTTCAAAGATAAGAGCAAGTTACCCTAACAGCATTCAGAAAATTGTAGCAAATGACAAAAATGAATTATACTTGCCCAAAAAAAGAGAACCCATGGAAAAGCTTTAACAAGGATAATCATTAATCACATTCAGTTGGATGGAAAATATTTCAATACCTTCATTATGTAGCCGGGAATGTGCCTATCATCAATTTTGATGCTCTGGTTGTAAAAAACGAATGAGAGTGTCAGATATATAAATACTTAAGGGGAGGTTACAGACTATAGAAGAAAAACAAGCTAACCTTTTCAGCATAAGATAGAGCACCTCTCTCATCTTTCCTTTCCCACAAAACAGATAATGCCACAAATACTTCCGGTCTTGTAGGATCAATATTCAATAAATCATGCACTAACTTGTTTAACTTTGAATAATCAGACTTCAGCTTTAGAAGCATTGCATACTCATCCATGTAAGTCACAACATAAGGATCAATTGAGCGAACCTGCAAGGATAACATACTTCAATTTGTTAAGATTCATTACAGAAATGTAAGTAAGCATTGGCAGAAAAAGATCTAGCAATGATTCGTTGATATAACAAGTTCTCAATATTCTAAACACCTTCTCAAAATTCATTATTGCCTCGTCAGTTTTTCCAATGATGGCTTCAACCTGTGCATAGAAACAAGATAATTAAAAACCGAATGGTCTATATGCTTCAAACAACCTACGACTCACAAGATTTAAGATTCATATATTCTCTAAGTCATCTCATTAGTTTTCTTTCCTACAAAGCAGACAAAGGAGCAAAAAAGAAAGCTACATTCGTCAGAATGCAACCACCGCAGACCTTTGAAATTTCAAGTAATATGTGAGTGTTATTAGGGAACCGTTGCAAAAGTTCTGCAAAGAGTTCCAAACCACCTGCAAAAAGATTTAAGGGAAACAGGAATCATTGTTGAAAGATATTGATAAAGCAGATAAGTTAACAAGATATATCACAATAAAAATCTTCAGCAAAGGAACATCTATAAAGAGATTATGGTCTAAATTATGAAACTTAAAATTTGAAAAGAAAATTAGCTTACCTTTGTAATCATTTGAAGCAATGCAACATTGTGCCTCAACATACCGCTGCACAAAGTCGACAATTTACTAAGAATGGAAATTAGTACTGACATAAGCAATGAAACAAAAACAATAAAGAAAGAGATAACAGCAAATGAACTGAGTGGATAATTATTTTCTAGGAAGCCCATGATCAAAGTTCCCAAAATATTTATATCGTTCATCAAGGAGCATAAAGATGATCAGTGGATCATTATGGGGAAGAGTGTCATCCATTTCATTTGTTCTTACTTGTAGCCAACGGCTTGAGTCACTATGATCAAACTGAGCCCGTCCACCTCGATTGTGAGTCTGGATTAATACAATTGGAAAACGAGCATGTCAGATAACAAAGATATACAGTTAAAGAAACCATACCGAAAAAAGAATGCTATAGTAAACAAATTAAAGCATATAACCAAAGGGATATAAAAAGGATTCAAGACAAAAGGAAACCTACTGTCCAAGGTGTTTAGTGCACTAAACCTTGCAGCTTTCAAAGTAGAATACTTCCTCCGTCCCAGTAAAGTTGTTACATTGACTTTTGATGGTAAAAAATGTCAACTATGACATTTAATTGGAATAAAGGGAGGAACAAACTAGACTGCGCTACAAATATATATTAACTTTTCTTTATAAATGAGAAGAATTGACTCAATGACTATCCATGCAACTTGACCAATATATCAAATGTGAAAAACTTGGAGTTTACAAGTAAGACTAACAGCAGCCTGCATGGGAATGACAAATCCATAAAGATACTGCCCCATTTTAAACTTTTTGAGCATATCTAGATGGAGTAGAATGAAAATTGATTACCATCTCACAATAAGAGCTTTATGTGAATTCAAAGGCATCCAACATCAAAGAAAAAACACATGTTACATGCTTGTTTAGCAAACCAAAAACAAAGACAAGGAAGGCATAGAACTTAAATCTGACAAACCTGAGGGAACAATGAAATTATGTCCTTGGCACTGGCCCCTAATTCAGCCAAGGCTATGATGGCCTCAATGACGTAAGGGCATTGCCTGCCAAAGAATAAACCAAAAGACACAAGCTTTCAGAAAGTCAGCACAACAATTTTTAATGAATTAACAGTAAAAACAAAGAGAAAAGAAATAACTGTTAGACACAGCATCCACAAAGTGTAAAGAAAGCATTAAGAAAATAGGAATGACCCATGGAACAGACCTTAAACATTCCCTGTAACAAGTAACTGCACCACGGGTATGTTTAGTATTTCGATAAAGCTTTGCCATCAATAAACTCATCTGCAAATTTCTTGCTTTGCTAGGAATTCCCTCCATCTGTAAGTTCAAAATAATAAGAAAAAGAAGAGTTCACAAAAAATAGATTTCACATCAATGTTAAATAAACAAATATTTATAATCCAAATTACAATCACCAAAACAAGTTAACAAAAATAATCAAACAGGGAGATGAAGTAAATTAAAAGTGAATAAAACCTCAACAAGGGCCACTTTGGTTTCATTTAGAGCAAAATGACAAGAAGCAATTTTGAACTTCACCTGTCATGTTAAACCAAACAAATCTGCAATAAGCATTTCAGCTTGCAAGAAAAAGAGAAGACCTCAAAGTTGATTGGAAGGAGGAAATACCTCATTTTCATTTATTGCTGAAATGTTAAAAGAATTTGGAGAAGAAGACCCTGTTTGAGGCAGTCAATGAACTTCTAGAAGATGTTGAATTTTGCTTGGGAATAATTTTGTAATACTGCAAGGCTTGCTTGTATGTATGCTGACAGCATATAGGAAAAAGGCGATAAAGCAACTTAATTTTTCCCTAATCTATTAGGCCCCCGAAATCAAATCATTTCATCCCATAAATCACATTCTCTGAATAAAATCCATTTAAAATAAAAATCTGCATACCAGTTTCAATAAACTTTACAGGATAACTAAATGGAACTTGAGAAATCCAATACTCTTCCATAAGAAAACTATATACAAAGCTCAAAATTCCATTTTAAAAAGGAAAAATTGTAATCAAAAGCATAGATATAAGGATAAATTAAATGAAACTATTAAAAACTTAACAAAAATTAATCTGTAAAAACCCGGCAGAACATTTATATTTCATGTTATTTTTTTTTCAATTACGGAGAAGAAATTAAGAAATTCTAACAATACAACTAACAAATTTAGCTCTCAATACTCAAAAAGTGCCATTTATGTTCTTTTTTTTTTTTTGCTATAAATCAAAAGAGAAAAGTTGTCCCAAAAATATAAACTTACGATTGCCCTACGATATACTCTCCCGCGAAACAAAGCATCGCCAAGAAGAATCTGCAGAAATAAACAAAAAAAATTAAGAAAGAATCCAGATAACATTTGGAAATTCATTTCAATAAAAAAAGCAAAAATCAGAATAAAATCGCCACCAGATTTTCAGCCTTGAGATGTGGACTAGTTTCGGCATTGACGCTAGATGATGAAACAAGAAAAGAACCCTATCGCAACCAAACGGAAAAATAATAATCAATCAGAGAAAACTTAAGTTAGGTTTATTATAATCATAAACAATTAGCAAATTAAAAATCAAAGATTACAAGAAGCTGAGCAGAATTAAAGAGAGCATTATCAAGAAGAGCAGTGATTTGCTCCTTTGGAACGTCCATTTTTTGAGAGCAGCACACACAGTGACGCTTATTGTTTTTGCTGTTTGGGGAGTTTTCTTTTCGAAATGACTGAATGAAAACTTTCAGGTATTAACAATATTAAATTGAAATTCCGCCCCCGTCTTTTGAATTTGTAAAGCCCGCTTTTGCCCCTGAAATGATAAAGGCAGATTAACCTTTTTTACCCTCCAACTCTACTAATGTAGTCATTTTAAGCCTTAAACTTTTATTGTATCCCTTTTGACCCTCAAACTTTTATTTTGTTGAATTGACCAAATGTGGCACAACAATAACGAATTATTATGTTGATTTCATTTATTTTAAGAAAATTATATTTAGTACCTCAACTATTATTTTTTATTGTAATTTGATAATTCAATTATTTTTTTATTTTAAAATCATATCTAATGATACATTTTGGTTATTTACCGTTAAAAAATTAACGATGATACTGATATCTCATCATAAGATAATTTCATGACAGTAGTTTTGTTAATTTTTAACAGTATGTGACTAAAATGAAAATAAAACGTAACATTATATATGATTTTGAAATAAAAAATAATTTAGTGATCAAAATGGAATAAATTAATAGTTTGGAACTAAACTTTTAGTTTACCCTTTATTTTATCCTCATCGAAATATGTTAACTATTCTTTTTAATCGTACAAATGAAAAATGATAGCACATTTAAGCTGGGCTATGAAATGGACCTAATAATTCGTACATGATCCAGGTACGTATAAACCCCAGGCCTTTCCTATGCCGGTGTTCTGAAGACTCGGTACAGAGAGGGTTTGATTAAACCAAACGTCGTATCGCACACCCAACTTGTACATTTTCTCACTATGGCTAAGCTAAATGAAATGAAATAAACCCCTAAACTAAAAAGCAAAGCAGATACGCCATTCCTGCTTAAATTCAAGATATGGGTAAGCCTTTTACTTTATTTCTTCTTCCTTCATTGCTTAATCTTTCTATTCCCCACCCTTCCTTTTCACGTTATTTCAAAACCATTACTACCTTCATTGAAGCTTCGAGTAAGAATTCCATGTTTGTAAAGCAAAAGCTACAAAGGTATGATTACTTTGATAATGTTGGCGATGCTTTCACTTTCTTTCATAAGATGATTGGAAAGTATCCTAAGCCTTCCATTGTTGAATTCAACAAATTATTAGGAGCCATTGTTAGAATGAAGCAGTATGCCACTGTTGTATCTATGTATCGCTTGGTGGAATTGTTAGGAGTTTCTCCTGATGTTTATTCTTTCAACGTCTTGATTAATTGCTTTTGTCAATTAGGTAAAATTGATTTCGGGTTTTCTGTTTTGGGGAAAATGTTCAAGTTAGGTGTTGAACCTGATGTTGTGACTTTTAACACTTTGATTAAAGGACTTTGTAAGCAAATAAAGATTTCTCAAGCTATGAGTTTGTTTGATAAAATGATTGAAAGAGGTTTAGAACCCAATATTGTAGCATATAACACAGTCATTAACCTTCTTTGTAAGAATGGCTTGCTAGAGGAGGCTCTTGATCTCTTCTTTGAAATGGAGGTTAAGGATATTAAACCAAATACTGTTACTTACAGTTGCTTAATTCATGCTATGTGTAAGAAGGGGATGGTTTCCAAAGCTGAATATATAGTTGACACAATGAGAAAGCAAGGCATTAAGCTTGACGTTGTCTTGTATAGCATATTGATCGATGCACTTTGCAAGAAGGGGATGGTTTCCAAAGCTGAAGATGTCATTGACACAATGAGAAAGCAAGGCATTGAGCCTAATGTTGTCACATATACTATACTAGTGGATGCCCATTGCAAGGAGGGAGCAGTTTATAAAGCTAAAGGTATTGTTCACACAATGATAAATCAAGGCATTGAGCCTAATGTTGTCACATACAGCACTCTTATGCGAGGCATGTATCAATTGGGGAGAGTTTCTATTGCTTGTGAAATTTGGAGAATGATGCTTGCTTTTGGACCAGTTCCAGACCTAGTGACTTATTCGATTCTGCTGGATGGTTGCTTCAAAAATGATAGACTTGAAGAGGCATTGAAAATTTTTCGAGCAATGCAGAACAGTGGGTTGGAACTCAATATTGTCTGTTATAATATCCTAATTGACGGTTTGTGCAAAGCTGGCCGTATTGAAGCTGCAAAGGAATTATTTCTTGAACTCTCGGTCAATGGTTTGAAACCTGATGTTTGCACATATGTTATAATAATCAATGGTTTCTGTAAAGGGGGATTGCCAGATGTAGCATACCAGATGTTGAGCATGGGAGATAATGATGGTTTGCCTAATAGCTGCTGTTATAATGTGATGATCCGAGTGTTTCTTCAAAACAACTACTCCTCAAAGGCGGCACGCCTTCTGACGGAAATGGTCAGTAAGGGCTTTTCTACAGATTTATGGACTGCCACCTTATTTGTGGATCTCATCTTACGATCTGGCAGACCGATCTTAATGTGAAATGTTTCCAGAGATAGTGTAAAGATAGTCAGTTGTGAATGTGAAGCAATTTGTTCATAATGTTGAGATAAGTTAGAAGTTACTGTAAACCAGCATGAGTTATAAGGTGTATTTTGAGTTTTAGTTTGATGTGCTTTTAAGCAATAAGGAGGGAATAAGAAAATGTTGTAGGGCTTGTTTCAGTTTAATTATAGTGTGCCTTGCTTTATGTGATGTTTGAATACCTGCAGAGAAGAGTAATAAGAAATAACGTGAATCCCCTGCAGCTGGCTTGTCTACACAGATTCTGAACCGATGTGACTTTTTCCGCTTTGAGTTATAACCTGATGTTGAGCCTTTAATTTAGCTGCTGTCATTCAGGAATTAAGTAGCTTGCAAGTTTGGCTGCTGTTTATTTGAGTGTTTGGAAGGAAGTCTTACCAAATCATATCTACATGAAAAATTCGTGAATTTTGTATCATATCCAGAAAAAGAAGAGATAAATCCCTGATTAGAAATATGCCAATGAAATATCCCATCAAGCTTAACCGTTGATTTCTCATCTCTTAGAATTCATTAAATGATTGATGCTTTGGGAAGAACCTTTTCAACATGATATGCTCATGGAAGGTTTGACTGATGATTTGCACTGGATCTGGTTTAATGGTCTGAGGCAATTCTTGTTGTTTCTATGGTGACATTGGAGCCTTCATTGTCTGGCTGTTGATGGCTTTGATTTGGATTGTAACTTGAGTGGCAAATTGTTTTCTATTGGCGATCATCTAGGTAGGGTCCATCGGTGGTGGTCTGTTTTGGGATTACTGCTTTGTCGTTGCATGGAGGTAATTTTTATGGGGAGTTTTTTTTTTTGGGTTTAAGGGTTGTTGTGTCAGACATGATGATCATCTTTTTCAATTTTGTATGAGTTTGCTCAGCACGAGAGTTCACTGATTTTATTTTTCGCTCATGTGTTTTTTTTTTTATAAGAGTTGCAGGCCTCGCTAAAAACCACCTTCATGAATCATGATTAATAGAGCTCGTAGAGAAGCACCTTAATCAGCGGAAGGAGGAAAAGAGTGCCTTATATTTCATTAATAACAAAAATGATACATAACGATTACAACATCTAGAATGACCCCTTACAAAATAACTTAAACCCAAAAATAACAGCCCCTAACATCAACACACAACTCAGCCTATTCCAGCCTTGGCTAAGGCATCAGCCTCTATGTTAGCAGTCCTAGCAACCCATCTAATAACACCCTCAAAATCTTTAAGCCTATCAACAATGTCTTTTACAATAAAAGCATACACATCTGGACATATCATAAGGTCTTTTACAACACCTCAATCTCAATTTTTTTCGCTAATGTGTTGATCTTTATGTGGTACGTTGTCCTCGTTGCATGCTCTGTAGTCCACTGCTAAGTGATCTAAATTCATGTTAATTTAAGTCCACTTGCCATATCATAAGGTGATGCAGTATTTGGGATAGGATTTGTTGGTCAATGTCCAAATCTACTAAATCAAATAAGTTGTTGATACTGGAAATGAGGAATTGCAAGATGGCGTATGCATATTTTGATATGTTGTGACTTTTAGTTTGATATACTTGCTATGAATTTTGAGTTTAAATTATATAGTATGTTACTTTATGTGCTGTTTGAATACTTGCAGAGAAGGGAAACAAGAAATAACGGAAATCCCCTGGAGCAGGCTTGTCTACACAGATTGTGCAGATTAAAGAACTTTACCGCTATCACAGAAGAGGAAAGTAGAAAAAGAATAACAAGTAGAGACTTCACACATCAGGTATAATTGCTCACATACTATTTTGAAATATAATTCTAGAGGCGAAGCGAATACTTTACATTCTTCTGTTCTGTCTGCGAATGTGGTATGCTAGGAACACCCACTTCTTAACAAGCAGAAACAATCTCATCTTTTGCTATTTGCCAATGATCTGGATGCAATGTGGGTTTGCTTAAGAGAAAATTGTGTTATTGATGATGCCACTGGTGCTGAAAAGGTCTATATCGTTGGCCATCACATTTTCCTTCAGTTCAAGGGATCAAAAATCCTCAGCCATATCACCTCCGTTTGACAGAACAAATAGGTCCAAAATGTCGTTGCTTCTTCAGCCCATCAAACTTCATGAAGTTTGAGAAAGATGAGTTGGGAAGAATAGTCATTTTGCCCTTCTATCTTTATGTGATGCGCACGGTGAGTCTTTGATGTAACAAAATAATATTAATTGTTATCATATTTTGCAATCTATCTTAATTATGTGCACGTCTTAGCATCGGTCTGTTATGAATTATTGCCTTCTAATTTGTTCTTATTGAAAAAGTGGTTCCTTGACTGCTGTTTATTGTTCAATGTTTTTCAGGTTTCTCTTACACAAGTCAGAACAGATATGAGTGAGCTTGGCGAGTATTCATAAGTCTTTGCACCTTGAAGCCTTCCAAGAATTTAATTATCTTCTTACCATATGGCACTACCAATCTAGCATTAGTTTATTTCTGACTATTTCTCATGTTTAAGAAATATAATTTCTTTTTTTTTTCTCTTTTATTCTGTACAGGAAATGGAAGCCTATATTTGTGGTCTTATTCCTAACCTGGCACAACTACGGGATATGCCTGGAGCCTTTGTTCAAATGTATTGTCGCATAGCTGCACACAAATTCTTCTTCTTTTGAGATCCTCATAGATGAGGTCTGTGTGACCTAAATTTTCACACCAACATCCAGTTGAATTATAACTTGTTTTTGTGCTTCCATTATGCTCTTTTCAGATAGTTAACAATTTTTTTCTTTTTCAGGGAAAACCTGCGCTTCTTAGCAATTGCCTCCAGGAATTAATGGAACTACATCAGGTACAATACAATATTCATTTGTATATCTTGTAGATATACCATCTTCTATACTTGGTTTTGACTGCTTGTTAAACTTCTGCGCAGGAAAGTGAGGAAGAAGTCACTGACACTGAGCAAGCCGGAAATTGGTTTTCCTTGACATCTTACTACACTTGCAAATCACGGAAGAGTTTGCAAAAGACGGGAAAAAGGTAGACGAGGAAAGTGGCTTAAATGGATAAGAATTTTGAATACTGCTGCGGCCTAACGGTAATTCCTCAACCGATGGTTATCAATTTGATTAAAAGTCGGCCCCCATATTATCCATCATTTCCCTTCTGCTCCATGGAACCACTTGCTTTAAGCCTACATACATAATTTCTGGAATGTAGTACAATGATTATAACACAAACGATAAAATGGTTTTATTTACCTATTGGCAGGGATTACCACTCCGAAGCTGTAAACATCAACCTTTGCATTGATATTTGTTGTCTGCAATTTAAATGCTAACTTTGTGTTAAAAGAGATACTCTGATTCCAAATATGGTTGAAATTGATAAGGGGATAAGAATATGTTTCGAGGCATTTTCACCAGGGATGAGGTATTCGAAAGATCTTGCGACTGTCAACGTTGAGTGAGCAAATGTATGCTCATTTGATTTTTTTTTTGATAGTCTGGTATGATTACAAGGAAGTATTTATTCAAAATCTTTCTTAGTAATTGATAACGTACACATATTTTATAAATATAATTGTTCGAATTTGAGATTTTAGGGAGAGCAACACTCATTTTTATTTGAAATTAGGATTTATGAATAGTGGATTCTTAATAAAGAAGTCTTTTTGTTGTTTCAATGAAATGATTCTTAATAAAGAAGTCTTTTTGTTGTTTCAATGAAATGATTCTTAATAAAGAAGTCTTTTTGTTGTTTCAATCAAATGATTGGTCAACTGTGGTATGAGTGGCCAAAAAGTACTAAAATAAAAAACGTGTCATATCATCTTTTGTAATTGGAGTGGCCGGTGATCGTTAATATTTAAACCTGCTCAAACTCTAAATATGACCAACAAGCAAACGTACTCTAGCTTATTGAAGCACATCAGCGAGGCTGTTCCACTTTAAATATGACCCACTTACCTCAAAACCCTAAAGATAAAATTAATCAAAAATTTTCTAATGGCCAGAACTCTACAAATGCTCACTTGTAACAAAGCCAAAACCGACACCCCACAACCTTAAACACCTACGAAGTGAATCTAACCTTTCTGATTTTGATTCTTTGGTTGCAATCTTTACATTTCTTGGTTGCATGAGTTGTTAGAAGTGAGATACGATGATCTTTTTTCAAGGATAAGATGTATTTTTCCATCGAAGAGCTTTTGTATCATGAATCAATTGAGTTGGTGTGAATTTCGATTTTCTCAAGAAAAAAACTTCTAAAAATGATGAGAATCGACCCTCAGAGTTTTCATTTCCTTTTAATGCTGTAATGATTTTTCTGCAAAGTTGAGGACTAACAACGAGGGACATGTTTGATCATTTAATTTCCTTGTATCCCTAAACTGACCTTTTGTTCGTGAAAGATGTTTAAAATTCAGATAGAAGTGATGGACGACGGAAAAGACGAATAATGAGAAGTCTAGGGACGTATGTGGGTGAGGAAAGGGGGAGAAAATATATTAAAAAGGTGCAAGTTGAAAATTTAGTATTTTATATAAAATTTAAAAGTTCAAATAATAATTTAATTCTTTTACTAACGCATCATATTATTAAACTAATAATATTTAATATCTAAATAATCAAAACTTAATAAAATGAAAACTTAAGTGATTAAAATTTAACTTTTTGAAGATAATGAGTAAAAAATATAAAAGGCAAGGATCTTCAGACCATGTTTGTTTATTTGGTTCGATATCTGTAACTCATGGCGGCAACACCGCCATTCAGCGACAACCTATAAACTAAAAAATATCTATGGAGGGGCTTTATTCTAAAATGGATTCTCCATCGTCTACGGAGAAATCGCCGAGAAAATCGACGATTGAGAAATCCATACGAAGAGTAATTTCGCCGGCAATCATCGGCAAAATATGTCCGATATGCATGAGAACCATCGACGTTCGTGGAGCGGCTGTTCTCACAGTTTGTTCCCACGCTTACTGCTTGGATTGCATTCGCAAGTGGAGCGATTTGAAGAGAAGATGACCTCTCTGTAATTCCACCTTCAATTCTTGGTTCTACAAAATCGATCTCTCCTCTCTAAGATTCCTCAAACAGCAATTACCCGCTCTCCCCGAGTGCAGATTGGTTGCTCCTCGTCCTCGATCCACCGCAACCGATCGTCGACGGTGGGTTTTTTTTAAGGATTTTCTGACACATTAAAGGGAGTAAAGGATTGATTACTTAAGTTATTCTTTTTTATTTATTTGCTTAGGGTTATTGAAAGAACAAGGAGAGAAATTAACAGTGTTAACAGGAGATCGAGGCCATTGCCTTGGCGGCGATCATTTGGGCGAGCTGGGACTGTGTCACTTAATGTTATCGCTGAAAGGAAGCTTCAATGGCGTGCCAGGTACTTTATGCCGACCAGCTTAGCTATATGATTATTCTTATGTTCTTATGGGTTGAAAAAGAAGAAAAAAAATGGCTGATGGGAAAATTTTGGTTTTTTTTTCAGTATGTATAATCGAAGATTGCAAGCTGTGTCAATGTCTCATGGGATTAGTTCTCAGCAGGTATGTTTACATGGTTTAAGGTTGGCAATTTTTGCATATTGTTACCTATTTTATTTGTTTTTCAAAGTTCTTTTTCCATATACATTTGAAGTTTCATATCCTCAAGTCCTATCTAGATGAACATAGATATGAGGCAAAGGCACTTTAGAAGAAAAACAAAGAACCAAGATAACATGAATCAGCAGATTAGTTTAGTATATGATTTTGATGTGTTCTCTCTTTGCTTTCAGAATTTACCCAGAAATGCTTCTGATAAAGAGAAAATTATGCAAAGAATAGAACCATGGATTCGAAGGGAGCTTCAGGCTATCCTTGGGGATCCAGATCCATCAATCATTCTTCATGTTGCGTCCTCACTTCTTTTTTCTGGACATGAAGGAAAGTTTGCTGGTTCTTTCTCCTCTTCAAGACAGCTCGGTTTTGATGATAACTTTCTTGCTCCTTTGGAACCTTTCTTACACGACCGGACCAACATGTTTTGGCATGAAATGAGGTGATTGGTACACCTTTACTGATTGTTGTTTTTTCTTTCTTGCATTCTTTAACTTTTGTTAGTTGCTTGTGAAGATTTTTTGTTGTTGTTGCTTATCCTACTCATTGTTATTGTTAACTTTTAAGAAAATTTATTTCAGATGCTTCATAGAGAGTTCTTTTACCATGGAAACATATGATGCAGTAGTCGATTATAGACAGTTGGAGTAAGGGCTTACAACATTTTTTAACGGTGATCTCTTCCCCCACCTTCCACATGTGGCCCAAGAGATTAGCTTGTTATGGTCAATCATTGTCCTTTCCTTGGGGCACCGATGACCTGGTAAAATGGCACAACATAGAGATTGAAGAATTAATCAAATTCCCAAAGCTAGGGTTGTACGAAGGAAAATGCTGTGAATTTCAGAGGAGAACCAACCAGGGGCTTCGACTGCCATCAGATCTTCGGAGCAGATTAAGCATGTTAGTCAAGAGTTGCAAGCAAGCCCGGAGGTGCCATACAGAGATTCTTGTAAATGTTTGCTTAGCACAACCCGTATTTTATATCATTTTACATTCTCTTGGGATGATTTGTAATGATGGAAAGACATTTATAAAATTCATGGGAACTTTTAAAAATTTGCTATTTAATTCAACAAATTGATATCTGATTAAAATGTTAGAGTTTGATATAACATTTCAGATCATAAATCGTACAAGCAATGCTGTTAGTAGTACATCTTGCAAGACTAGGAAGACCTTTAACAAAACAAGTAACATTTTGATAAAAAAATGCCATCATGATTCTTCCTCAGGCTCTTCTTCCTCTTGGAGAAGGTTTTCCCTGTTATCGTGAGCCCAAAATCCGCGAACATCTATGAGCATGCTGGCCACGGTACCACCCTGTTTACAAGCTAGGAGGTCAGCCAGTGTAATCTTCAACGGATCAACTGGCTTTACCATATCCCAAATTTCATCCCTCACATCCTCAATACACAATTCATAGTTGCCCCCTTCGATCCATTTCTGGTGTACATCCCTGTTTCAAGAATTGAACGAGAAGTTCATTCAGTTGATGAAATTCTTATAATGTGTGGAAAATGTTTCAAATAAATCAGTAAATTCATCGTTCATGTATCTGGAGATATGAGACTTGCAGAAACTTGCTCAGTTACTACAAGCAGGAAAATACAGAATTTTATGTAGGAAGATTGTATCAGGTAAACATCTCCTCTCTGTGATGCTCCCCTTCTTCACTTCCATTTTTTAGAGATATACTCGATCCCTCACAAACCACATAATAAAGGTCCGAACTGTGATTGTCAAAAATAAACTTCAATTATGAATATTTGAAGAGGTCTTTACCTGAAAAGAGAATGAATATCTGCTGTTGTGAGGAATCCCCTACCATTAAGATCGAGACAGCGAAACAAATATGTTAATCCTTCTGGGGTGTCTTTGTTCTCAAGGGCCAGAACAAAGTCAAGACAACTTTCAAAATCCATCTCTCGATTATTTCCAGAACCAATTTTGCCACGGCGGACATGCTCATCAAACACTATTGAATGCATAAAAAATCCAAAAAATAATGAGTAGAAAACCCAAAATGAAATCCACCCACAATAGTGGAAAGAATACGGTTTTCTAAATAGAAGAGAATATATGAGGGGTTGGTTTACTATCATTCCAAAGTTTGATTCCATTTTTTCTATGAAGGGCAAGCGTTTAAGAAATAACCAGGCTTAAGGATCAAACATGAGAAAGCATGGTATACTCAGGAAAAAGACATGTTATAATATATCCTACCTCTTTCGATGAAAATTTCAGTCAGTGTTCCATCTGCGTATTCTTTAAGCTCCTGTTTACTCAGTGAGCCATTCATATCTTTATCAAGGGCAAGAAACATATCTAGGAGAAGAATCAGTGTGTAATTAGTACATATTCCCTCATACAATATTTACATAAGCAGTTTCCAAAAATCAAGACAAAGAATGGGAAAAAGTACGAAATTGCAGATTATGATCTGCTACCATCAGGTTCACAGGAGAGGGCATATAAAAACAGTTAAAACACAGTCAATCTCTACAAAATAAAAAAATGTTCAGAGCACTTACCACATATACGTTGTGCAGAAGTCAAGGAAAACCAATTTTCAGCTTGCTCAGTGTCGGTGACTTCTTCCTCGCTTTCCTTCACATAAGTATAACGAACGAAATAAATAATCAACATAAGAAATATGCAGTCAAGACTAAGTATAAAAGGATGGTATATCTGCAAGATATACTCATGAATATTGTACCTGATGTAGTTCCATTAATTCCTGGAGACAATTGCTAAGCAACACCTTTTTTATGCAGGCTTTTCCTGCAAAAGAAAAATAAATAAATGTTAACTATTTGAAGAGAGCATAATGGAATCACTAATTCAACCGGATGTTGGTGTGCAAATTTAGTACACAGACCTCGTCTATGAGGATCGCAAAAGAAGAAGAATTTGTGTGCAGCTATGCGACAATACATTTGAACAAAGGCTCCAGGCATATCCTGTAGTTGTGCCAGGTTAGGAATAAGACCACGAATATAGGCCTCCATTTCCTGTACAAAAGAAAAAGAAACTATAGTTCTTAAACATGAAAAATGGTCAGAAACAAACTGGTGCTAGACTGGTAGTGCCATATGGTAAGAAAATAATTAAATACTTGGAAGGCTTCAAGATGCAAAGACTCATTACATGAGGTTGGAGGAAACCATCTGAATCCTCGTCAAGCTCACTCATATCTATTCTGGCCTGTGTAAGAGAAACCTGAAGAACATTGAACATTAAAAAGCAGTCAAGGAACCACTTTCTAAATAAGAATAAATTAGAAGGAAACAATCCATAAGAGAATGATGCTAATACGTGCACATAATTAAGATAGATTGCAAAATATGATAACAATTACTAGCATTTTGTTACATTAAAGACTCACAGTGCGCATCACATAAAGATAGAAGGGCAAAATGGCAATTCTTCCTGATTCATCTTTCTCAAACTTCATGAAGTTTGATGGGCTGAAGAAGCGGCGGCATTTTGGACCTATTTGTTCTGTACAAACGGAGGCAATATGGCAAAAATCTTCATAATTCATCTGCAAGTCCAAAAAAAAATCAAGCTCTGAATGCAAGCTAAAACAAGAATAATGTCAGAATTGTGAACAATAAACTACAAGTAGCTAATCATTTTTTATCCCTTGAACTGAAGGAAAATGTGATGGCTGAGAATATAGACCTTTTCAGCACCAGTGGCATCATCAATAACACAATTTTCTCTTAAGCAAACCCACATCGCATCCAGATCATCAGCATTTAGCAAAAGATCAGATTGCTTCTGCAATTCAGAATCAAGAATGTGAGCAATTATTAAAATGGACCAGTAGATGGTTGGAACCAACAAAATGACAATCTATCAAAAGAAGCACCAATTCTACCTTTAGAAATCGATATTTTGCCAGTCTCTGAACCCTATGACTAATGGATCCTTCCTCAGGCTTCTGAACCAAACAAAAACAAAGCAAAGAAAAGAAGAGTTAGTTCATGGTAAAAGGGGATTTTAAGAGTAACGAAGCAAACAGAACTACTATACATGCCTTCTTATAGAAACTTGGTATTGAACCAGCTTCAGCACTTTTCTGTTGCTTTTCTTTAAATATATCAAGCAAGATCCTCTTAGTTTCAAGCTCTGGAAAAAGAATAGAAAGAACACAAGATCAGGAATCTTAATTGATGAAACAAACGCTGATTTCAAAAGTAAAATGACAGTATTTATCTCCGCAATTCAACTGAAAAAAGAAACTCAACAGATCCGAATCATTAATTATAAACATATTACTAATCAAAATATCAGAGCAATTTATGATTGCCGTACTACAAAACTTGTAACAAGAAAAGTCCCAGTTCCTAATCTTTCTCAAAGATTTATCTTGAACCAAGAATTACAAATAAATGTCAAAAAAAATGCATTCTCTATCTTTACTTATCAATTCAGACACTCAAAAGTCAACATCAACCTAGCTAACAGGTTGATTATTTATCATCTTATCCAATAGGCTTCCACTACCATAGTTTAGCAAAATTATAAAACTTTAAACACCAATTAAACACATTTCAGTAAGAAAGACCCTCAAAGTTATAGTATATATACAAATTAAGCAAAATTAGTCCTAAAGTTCAGCAGAAGAGATAAAATCTAAATTTAGACATTGAAAAGTATAAATAGAAGTATCTAAACAGTGGAATGTCGGAAGTTGTTGTAAGAAAATGAAAGGAAGAGAGAAGAGAAACAGACCCATTAAGGCTTCAGATCCGAGTCCGGCACCGGAACCGATGTACCGGCGAAGATTTCGAACCCAAAGCATCGACGATACTGGCGGGATCTTCCGTTGCGTGGCGGCCTCGTGGCTCTCGCCATCACTGGACCCACTATACATGGTCTAGTCGCACCGATCAAGCAAGATGACTCGACTCAAAAACAGTTCGATTCTTGGTGCAGATTTTTCTAATTCTCTGAATAAAAAACCCTAACTCTTCAGTTTTATTGATCTGTGTAAAAAGCTAAAAACAATTGCTTTCGTATAGAAAAGTGCTTCCTCTTTTTCTTTTGGATTTATGACGAATGAAGCCCTCAAACTTTTAAATATAAATTAATTAAGTTGCTGAACTTCTTGTGCACCTAATTAAGTTCTTTTATTATGATATTTCATCAATTCACCTCTTTGATCAACGTTCTCCTCTAAATCTAATGATTTATTTGGATCATCTAGTGTCACTTGTCGTGTTACAATATTTTTCATGTGATATTTTCATATATATATTTATTAATTTTTAAATAAATTTTTAAAAATTTTAATTTTTAAAAAAATCTTTTTAAAAAATCTATAAAATCATGTGAATTTTTTTTTCAATATGTCAATTGGTAATATTTTAGATAAATGATCAAGTTTTAAATTTTAAAATTAAACAATAAATTTAATTGATTTAACTTTTTAAGATGATGATTCAATTAGGTATAAAAAGGGTTAATTATCCCATTCATACATGAAGTATACCCAATTATCAGTTTCATATATAATGTTTAAAAATTCTCGATTTCATACATAGTGTTTTCTATCGTTAACGGGTCCACCCATTTCCGTTATGAAAGGTGACGTGCAACCCTAACAAAATGCCACGTGGCACTTAAAAATATTTTTTAAGTGTCACGTCACCTTCCATGATGAAAATGGGTGAACCCGTTAACGATAGAAAACATCAGGCATGAAATCGAGAATTTTTAAACATTATATATGAAACTGAGAATTGTGTATAGTTCATGTATGAATGAGTTAATTAACCCAAAAAAATGATACGAGTAAGAAACAAGGATATTGAATCAGGGAGAGGGCCTGAACTTCTGCGGGCGTTTGTACAGATTGGATCGTCGATTAACAATCACTCATCTACAAGAAGAGGGTTCTGGCCCCCAATAATTCAAAGAAAGCTTTACAATAATT